AAATGGTTGCCACTTTAGTTAGTGTCTTGAACAATATGTTTCTTTTTTATTTTTACCTCTTCAATGATCTAAGTTTCTAAACTCGACATTCTCTAAAATTAGAAATTTTTATATACTAGAGTGAATATCACTAATCAATTATCCATGATGTAGGTAGCAAAATTGGTGTTAAGTCCCTATTTTAAAAAAAATAATTTGGACCATACTTTTTATTGTTATAAATTACAGGTTGTTTATACAACTATAAAAATGCTTGTTTGCCCTTATTTATTTATCAATTTAAAAAAATTAAGCCCACTAATACCCACCCTCATCCCCCACCCACATTCATCCTACCACCACCTTAAAACTTAAACTCTTGTACATATCACATTTGTTTCATCCTCATCCTTAATCCCATTTTGTAAACTCTCCATAGCACCATCACACTCCAATAAGCATCATCAATTACACCTATTGAACGCTCATCACTGTAGCAACCGTTAGACCATCCATGTAGCAACCGCTAAAAGATATGTTCAGTCCCTATTTTCAAATTTTAATTAAGACCGTCCCTAGGTTGCAATGTCCTTGCACGCTTAGTCCCTATCGTCGTTATCCATTATATTAGCTGTCATTTAAGTGCCTCACATGCCTTGCACGTTTGCTAGGGATCATCCTCCATTTTTTCAAACTTGTATGTTTCATCCCTCTTTAGTTTAATTTTGTGTGGTGTATCCTTTACTAGACATTAAATTACTATCTTACCCTTACTCTTTTATTCTTAATTTAATTATAGCGTATTATTTATTTAAAACGAATTAGATTCCACCCTATCTCTACCCCACCCACTAACCCTAAAAATATAACCTAATATATCTTCATCCCATTTTTTACTAAGATTAGCTCTTAAAAACCATTAACATTACCATTATTTTCGGATCACCACATTCGAACCACTGATTGACAGAGAGTGAAATAGAGATAGAGATCTATATTCTGAAAATAACTTTATTCAAATATGTGATTTAGGATGTGTCATCACCAACCCTTTTACATCTAGATATTAGATCCACATTCCATTTGAGGATCTATATTTTGACCACGTTTCTATCTTCCTCGATGGTGACAATTGGTGGTTGTTGGAGCTAAAAAAAGAAGACAATGAATCTAGGGTATTGATTCTAAATCTCAGTTACCCAAGATTTTACCTTGCCAATGGGATTAGATGACTAATTTTAGGTTTAGGAGATTCATCTCAAAAATCAATTACATTCAAAGGCTTTAGATTAGGATTTGGTTTTAATTATAGGTTTTAGATTCTGGTTCAAGTATTAGATTTTGGTTTGAGATTCAGATTCTAGTTTTAATATCAGATTTTGTGGTGACCTGTGGTGGCTGCAAAAGGTGTCAACCGTAACAAGAGATAATTGTTGACAATAACAGGAGGTGGTTTTCGTAATTTAGAAAGAGCACAGGGAACACATACATCCATATAAACACATACACACACACACTCATTCACAGAGAGAGAGAGAGAGAGAGAGAGAGAGAGAGAGAGAATGGGGGGGGGAGATATGAAAATGATATAAGTTTTTAAAATTTATAATTAATCTAATTTAATTGATAGATTATAAAAAATGATAAATAAACAAAAAGGGAAATAAAATCATTTAAAAGAAACAAAAGGACTCAACACGTCTTTGGGGCACTTAAATGGAAGCGACTAATGGCTAATGGTAACCATGCAGGGAAATGGCAAACCAAGGACAATCCAAGTTAATTTTTGAAATATGGATTTAACGTGACTTTTGACATCTATACGAGAGACAAATCGTGTAATTTAATCTAAAAACTATAAAAAAAACATAAAAGTAAAATAAAATAAAAAGTTTAATATATGAATTTCATGTTTGCTAGGAATGAATTGTACAACTTACAATGATATAAGAGATTATTCGAGATATTTTTAAAAATAAGCAATAAGCACATATTTTAACACTTGAATAATGGAAGTTTCATATAATTTACTCTATATACAAATATGGTCCTATTGGTAGGATACAGTTTAAATCATTTATTACACTAACTATTGCTTGTTAACAGAACGTCCAATCTAAAATGTAGCATATATTATCAAATAAAAAAAGAGGTACTAGTAACATTTATACTCAGGTGATCTCTGAATTTTGGAGTTCTTAATTGCAAGGAAGACCAGGACCATACTTGCTCTTCTAGGTATAAACATGAAAGTATCGGTGCCATGGTATTTAAAACTTAAAATCAAACATCTTTAATGGAAAAACTTTAGCACCTTGGAAGGGAGACTTCAAAACCCTATGGATCCCTTTACACCTTTGAGGTTTTTCTAAGACAATTATTAAGGAAAAATAGAATCACATCCCTTAAACATGTGATATTTAACGTTAACCCATGATTAGCTGTACAAAGCCAATATGTGAACCATTCATTATTTCCCTTTGGAAGTGCATGAACTGAGTCACTAAGGGCTTGGTTTGAGATTTCCCACTCCCAATGTCTTTCATCATTTAGTCTTTAGTTGTATGTTCCTCATAACTCATTATAGGATGTCATTTTCATTAAAACAATGATTGCACGATAACTATGATCCGTACTGTGAGACCGTAATAAGATCAAGTTGACATTCACAAAGGGATGTTGATATTTTATTGTTATATACATACACTAACAACAAGAAATACCCCAATTTATGATTATAATGTGTTTTGGTTAATTTTTTTTTTTTTTTTTTTTTTTTTTTTTTTTTTTTTTTTTTTATGTTTGGTAATCCCATGGTTCTAAATAACCTTAGGTGTGACTAGGTGACAATGTCAAGCCTCAAGCTTTTAAAAGTTGTGACGAGTTATGTAGTTTGTAAGACATGACTTAAGGCGGAAATTATATATATATATATATATATATATATATATATATATGAGACTTAAAGCGACATTTTGTTAAATATCTGCATCATGTACAAGCCTTGAAGCTATGATGTGTCATAGCTGAGCTATGGCATGTCCTGGAGGGGCTATGACGTGTCATGACGAAGCCATGATGATCTTTTTAGATCCTTAGGTAGTCATAGTCACTCAGTTTTTGCAATTTGTCTTCTTACATATGAAATAGTTCGTTTCTCAAGTTTGTTTGGGTATAAAGTTAGTTTTTCAAGTTAAAATACAGATATTCAGATTTACTAAAACAACAAAAGTGGAGTTCAATAGGGAATCCATCAATTTAATTTAAGTATAAGAGATAAGTTGTGCCATTTGAAATAAATCAACAAAATTCTTCAAAAAGATTTGTTTTCAACAGAAGAAGACAATAGAAACAACCATATATAGGCGATTAATTTGTCCACGCCAAAAGGAGGTGATGGCGGTCTACGTATATTCTCTTCTAAAAGATCGTAATGCTATGGTTTCATGAATGCTTTGGAGATAATCCCAAGAATAACATAGTAGAATGCCACCATTGAACAAGAACTCTTTGAAGAGAAGTTACATGCTTGTTTAGAACCTATAAATTGTGAAGATTTTGATGAAGCTCTATCTAAAGTTGTAGTGAGTTTACCAAATGGAGTTTGCTTGTAAATCGAGTTAACGGATGGATGCAAGCCTGTGTTGGAACGTGCATAGGAGAAATTGAAACCCGTGATTGTTAAAGAAATATGATTATATATGCAAACACAAAATATTGAATGAAGACATCAACCAAGTAACAACGAGGAATTATTAGCCCGAGATAATAAAAAAAAGAGGTTCACATGACACTGACATCATAAACATGTAACTGAAGCACCACCATGATGGATTGTTCACACCCACTAGGTTAGCTTGAGTATGAAATGCAACAACTAGGAACACAAGAGAATTATTTCATATGCAATGAAGAATCTACCGCAAGGGGGACCTCAATTACTCCGACATGACTCCTATAATGCCAAGAAAGAACAAAACCAAAAGATATAGCCTTGAAGATAAAGAGTTGCAGATCCTGAAACCCCAAAAAGATTAAACTAAATTGTCACTTCCCTTATTTGGATCTTGAGTATAAGGATCCCAATAATAGGGATATAGATAGACCAAAAAGGTATCAAACAACTCCTAATATAATTATATAAATCCCAAGGTTTTAACTTAGTAGTCAAAGCTTTTTACTTTCTTTTATGATGTGTGGTATTTTTAGTTGCTCATAATGTTGCAACTCAATGCTTGTTTGGTTAATAGATCCAAATGAATCGGACATAATTTCTATTTATAGTTCTATTCCTTGGCATATTCAGTTTCCAAATGGCAGGGTCGGTGATAAGGAATTAAATATCATCAATAGCCCAGGACGAACTAAAAAAAATAGGCCTTATCGTAATTATAAGTTTATATTTTTAATAAAAATATATAGAATATATAATAAAAAAAATTAAGTCGGGTGTAATTGTCAACTTTGCCCCCATCAACGCACCCATGCCAAATGGACGGATTCAATTCCACTATATTCCTCCAAATTCAATGTTTGATGGACTTTACCATTCACAGGGAAAGTGTAGGAATTCAATTCCTATTCCTTCTTTTATTAAGAATACCAGAATACACAATTATATGTATATTAGGTACATTAAAAAAATTGATCATAAGAAAATTTTAAGCTATTCAATTTATATAATTGAATTACATTTCATCTCCTGCCAACCAAACACATTACCGACACAATTTATTGAGATTCTTATTCCTTTGAAATATGCAACTCTTCTAAAACAATTTTTAAACCAAAGTCCAGCCCCTTGGTTTCTTAAGTTAAAGCTTATATGCCAATCTCTAACTTTACTTATTGGAACATAAGGAATGAATAAAAGAGCAAGAATTATCTCTCAAAATCCGTTATGTTTTTAACTTCCATCAAAAAGAGAAAGGTACTATGATCAGGACCTATTTTGTAAGATTCTTACATGCTTTCAAAAAAGGGAAAGGTACTATTATTCACCATTAAAATCAAGGAGGAATTGATTCACCTTCATTGAAGGATGTTGTATAGACAACACACAGTCACCTTGATCAGTTCAGTGAAATATGAACTGGTTGAGGAAGGTGGTTATCGCTTGATGGGACAAATTTAAATGTACTCCATGGAATTTCCATTACTTTACAAGCATTATTTTGTAAGATTAATTCTAACATGCTTTCAAAAAAATTGATAAGATACTAATGTTTGATTAATTTGGGTTATCAGCATGACAAAGGTAACAGAACGATACAATAAAGCAAAGGATGAACATCATCATATGTTGAATCCCACTATGGAAGTTGAGGTACCATTCTTCAAACTCCCTTAATTGTCACAACTGCATTGATAAAAAAAAAATAGCTTTGCTTTTCTACTTTCAATTTACTTTCTATAACCAAAACTTTAAGCCATAACTACTAAGCATATATTTTAGTCAAACCTCCCACTCAAAATATTTATTAGTGACATTCTTGACATCCAGTTCATAAAAAGATTAATCACTCATAACCACAACAGAAGCTAGTTAAGCCCCGCAACTTTCACCGACACTTTCAATTTTAACCTGTCAAGAATTAATTCTGCAAACCGGAGTGCATAACTAGCTATGTATGTATTAAAAAATGACAAATTGCACTTCTCATATCCCATTAAAAAAGATAGTCCATGAGCATTAAACACTAGTCCTTAAACATTTTAAGATTCTTAAAGATATGTAGTCATGAAATAGTAACAAAATTTCAGATTCCTTCCACCTAGGTATCTCAAACTTTCTTTGAAAATGTTTTACCCCTCATGTTTCATTTTTGTTCCTTATATGTGAAATTATGTACATAAATATAACTGGTTTACCTATTCGACTAATGACTTGGAAATGACATGGCAATAACGTGGCAAAATATTTAAAATAATTTCATTAAACAATAACCAAGTTTCATTTTTGTTCATTTAACAGAAGGGATGACTTGTTAGCATAAACTGCTAGGTTGGTTTTGTTTAGGATTATGTGGAATTTTCATTTTATAAAAAAGAAAAAGGAAAACATCTTTAATTAGGTTTAACAGGAGGAACCGAGGAACAGTAGTATGTAAACTCCGTGTTCAGATTTCATTGGTGTGTAACAAAAAACCTTGAGTGGTAATTAAACCTCTTCAAAGAAACTTAAAAAGTACCTAGGTTAAACAAGAATAACATTTGGTTGGTATGAGCGTCTTTCTTCAGTGCATATTTTTTTTTTTTTTTTTTGCGTAAAATACATTAGGCTTCCAAGTTGTGTCATCACCAAGAATAATGCATTGTATACTACGTATCTACCTTCAATGCCTACTACCCTATTTTTCCTCCTTAACATATTCCTGTTAATTATGAGCGTCTTTCTTATGCCTGATGCATCTACTTTTTGACTAAAAGCATTTCATCTCTGAGAGTGGAACCAAATTTCAAACTTTGTGCTACTGCCACCTGGAAATCACCCCAGGAACACTCAATTCTTGATATAATTTTGTTCTACAACTTACACAAAGTGAGCAACTAGAAGAAAGGGTGGGCTAAATCTGTGAGTACTTGACCATATATCAGAAACTACACAACAAACAAGTACTTCCAATTCAAGATTATTAGTCTCACATCATGTAAGCCATCATAATAAAGGCACTCTCCCCTATTGATGCAATGTTTCCAAGTTCCAGTGTTAAGTATATATAGAGAGTCTTACAATTTTGATACAATGATTCTGTGTGTATATATTGGACTTCCTATAGAATATCCTTTCACTTAACTAGGTCAAAACTGCGCACATAAGACATGTAGATGACGATAGACGTGGGAGTTAAAATATAAATAGAACTTACAGCCACACAAAATGTTTATTATAAGAGTCTGAGTGATCTAAGTGTAACAACCAAATCTCAATTGGGGTACACCTAAAAGTTTTGGTATTAGAAAAAACATTAATAACTTAAGAAAAAACCAATAGCTAGTGTACTTCCAAATCCATGGGAATGAATATCCTTACTCCTTTCGCGTATTGAGCTAAGCGACTTACCAAAAGCACTAAAATTCACATGATACTGAATCATGAAGGTTTGGGTGGTACACTATGTGATCCTTTTCTACAAAGGCGTTACAGCTTATAACTCGAGTTTTGAACTGGGTGATAGTTTTACCATGTTTTATTTCGTTTACTTTTTGTAAAAACTAACAGAAGCTTTAATCCAGCTTATCAACAACTATGCATTATAAAGAATACTTCAAACATTTATTTTTCCATCACTAGTTTTGGCAAGGGGAAGCAGCTCGGTTGAGGCAACAATTACAATGCTTGCAGCATAGCAACAGGTATTACTTGCTCTCTCAATTGCAAGCTATACATGAAGACTCGATAAAGAAGAGTCATAAGATTGTTTTACTTTTATATCACTGGAGTGGTATCTATTATTTAGTTTTTTTAGTAAAATTCTAGAGGAGGATAGATTCTTTCGCCAGTGAAATAATGTTTACCTTAACAGGCAGCTTTCTGGAGAAGGGATTTCTCGCTTGAGTGTCAAAGAACTACAAAATCTGGAAAACCAATTGGAAACAAGTTTAAAAAGTGTTCGGATGAAAAAGGTAGTTCTCTCATTCAAAAAGTTCAGTGTATCAACTATTAAGTCACCAATGATGCTAAGCATGGCCTAAATTTTACTGCAGGAACATATTTTCACAGAAGAAATCAAAGAATTACACCGAAAGGTACAAAAGTAAAACAAGAAGTTCCTTTAGATTATGATTTGTGCATGAAGTTACAGTCTTTCACCAATACTACTGTTGCAGGAGAGTCTTATGGTTCAAGAAAATAAAGAACTGCACAACAAAATAAAGCTCGCGCATCAAGAGAAAGCAGAATTGCAAAAGAAGGTACTGGAATAGATCGAAAACAAGATAATTATATTCTTATTACCACTGAAAATATCAGGTCCAATAAGCAAGCCTAAGTATAAGTTCATCAATCCAGATTTATGGATTGTGGAGTACGAATGAAGTAAACAAACACCACAACACCTCCTTTTCCTTAAGCATTGATAACAACTTAAATGCACCACAGACGGATGACATGGCAGCAGAAGCGATGAACCTAAGGTAAGAACCATGCAAAGAATGAAGAAAATTCCATTCAACCCAAATATTCACGTTTAAACATGTAATATAAGATATTGAAATGTGTAACAGGTTATAACGAATCGACATATCCGGTAGGGACCACGAAATTGTTTTTATAACAGATTTACAAGAGACTTGAGAAATAGAAGGTGCACCTACATTCATATGTTGTAAAGCTCCACCAACATTGTAAAAAGATTCAATCATCCATAGGTCGTCAATGTATTCTACGAATTCTGAATGTATAGTTTCAATAATATAAAATGTGAGGAGTATGATTATTTGAGATGTTCTAAAATATGATGTCTTTGAATTAAGTATGCATGTATTCTGTATTCTCCAGAAAACCAGACGTATCACCCAAGTTATTTTCATGGACAAATTACTTGGCATGTTTTGGATACATGATTTCATTGTTGTTTGTGTTGATCAAAGCATTCTTATAAACATCAAGCTTCTTTTTCATATTAATAATTATATGCATCGCCCTTTGTTCGGAAATATAATGGCATCATACATTTCTTAATTTTACTTTTTCAAAAGCTTCATGAGCTCATTTTTATTGTCATTCATGTTTTCTAATTATGTGTGATCTCAAAAGTCAAAACAAAAAGAGTAAATTACATGAATGGTAATTTGTGTGTTTGGTTCCTAACTTATTTTTTTTAACTTGGAAGGATTTACTGTTTTTTTTTTGTTAGGTGCTTGATCCCTATCCTACCTAAAAAACTATTATGCCCTTAACTTTTTTAATTTAGTTAAATAAACATACCCCCAACCCAGCCCCTCTCACGTTACCTTATTTACCCCACCATTTTCTCTACTTAAATAATTGTATTTTTAGGTAAGACAGTGATCAAACGAGTAACAAAAACAAACAGTCCGGATCAAATGCGTAATAAAAACAAATAGTATAGACTTTCCAAGTTAAAAAAATAAGTTAGAGATCAAACGTGCAAATCACCTCAGACCTTAGGGGCCATTCGTGTAACTTACTCAAACAAAAAAAGATACAAAAAGAGAGCGTAAAAAGGCGGAAACTCTCTATAAGTTTTCTTCCTTCCAAACAGATATCCAGAAGTTTAAATATGTCCGAGAATTTTTACAATCTTGAGTAAATTACATGATTTGTTCCTCATCTAAGTATCAAATTTCGTTTTTAGTTTTTCTTTTTAAAAATTAACTCGGACTGTCCCTGTAATATTTTTTTTCTCACTCGGACCGTCCCTTACGGACATAAAATGACTATTTTACTCTTTTCATTTAATTTTTATTTTAGTTATCGTTCGTTTTACAATTTATTAAAAAAAATTAAAGAAATAATCCACCATCCTCCTCTCCTTCCTCTTCCACCACCGCCCACCTTCTTGTTTACTCCATCTACACTATCTTGAAACTTGTATCCAAATCCAAACTAAAATCAATAGCTTCTTTTACACAATCGAAAATCAAAATCAAACAACTCAAGAGGTTCTTGCAAAAATAAAAATCAACCAATCCTTACAGAAATCGTAAAGCAAAGTCACTGAAACATGTAACTAAAACCTAAAATAGAAAATCAAAATACAACACTCCAAGAGGTTCTTGAAGAAATCGAGCAGTACACAATTGCAAAATCAAACTAGTACCTCTTGAAACCACCACCAGAACCTCCTGCAGCCACCACCAACAACTCTTTCAACCCCCAAATACTAGAACCATAATTTGAAACGTGATATAATCTAAAACTCAAACCCAAATGAATTCAACACCAGTTTTTGAAATCTGAAACCAAATCAACCCAAAATCTGAAACCAAAGTCAACATCAAATCTATAAAAGAAGTTGGAGATGAAGCAAATTGTTAAGGAAATCAAAGAAGTTACGGAATGAAACTACAAATATGGAAATCTTGAATCTAAATATGAAAGTCAAGTGTGTTGACAAGCTTCAAAAATGATTTCTGAAATGAGTTTGTTGGAAAATCTCAAAGTTAGGGTTCTTAGTGCAGTCAATATCTATAGTGTCACAGAGTAAATGGAGTCGATTTACAGAGTATATGGTGGTGGTTTCTTGTAGAGATGGTGGTTTTCAACGGGTTTAGATAGATGAGAGAAAAGAGAAAAGGGGGAGACAGTGGATGGGGGAAGAGAGAAGGACGATGGTGTCTGTTTCCAGGGGGAACTTTCTTCAGATCTTATACGTCTTTTCTAGCGGTGGTTTCCGGTGATGTTATTGACATGAGAGATACGACTTATGAGGGTGGGGACATTCTTAATAGAAGATGAAGCCACCTCCGACAACCACCACTTGGAGTGTAGATCTATGTTCAGATGGCGCTAACAACTCCATCTCTGTCTCTCTCTCTCATCATCCCCGTCGACAGTTTTTTTTTTTTTTTTTTTTGAAAAAAAAGTGGTGGCGGTCGACGGTGGTGTGTTCTGGTCCGACGATGTTGTGCGATGGTCCAGTGGTATTTCGTGGTGGTCAGAAGTAGAAGATGAATGGAAGAATATAACTGAAGGATGTGGGTATGGTGGGGTTAAGGCAGGAGATAAGTTTTGTGGTGGTGGGATCTAATTTTTTTACTGGTTGTTAGACCATGTATTCCATGGGTTTTTTTAATCTAAATTTAAATGTCAAAATATTTTAGAAATTTCAATTTATAAGAAAATACGAAAAAAATAATGATTTATTATAATGTAAATGTTTTTTATCTTTTAAATTAAAACAATAATTTAAATAAATAAAAGAAAATAATGAACTTTAATTTTAGAGAATTTAAAATTAAAAAGTAAGTTCATTAATCAAATTGATATCTATTTTTTACTACATTTATTTCAAATATTACATTAAAATATTATGTGAAATTTAATAAAATAGAAAAACTCATTAGATAACATGTGGAAAAAATAATTCCAAATAACAACAAAATGACATTTGGCAAATTGAATGAGAGTGTGATAAGTGCAAAATAAACCTTCATTTATTAGAGAATTTTCTTTTAAATTGTTAATAATAAACAAATTAAAAAATATATAAAATAGAAATAGAAAGCATAAAATCGTCATTTTATCTTCGTCAGGGACTGTCTAAGTGAGAAAAAATATTACAGGGATGGTCCGAATTAATGTTTGAAACATAGATTAAACCCTAATTTCTCATGTTTGGGACCTATTTAAGGACCCTTACAGCCACCATTTGTGGCTACAAGACCCTTGAGAGAAACCCTAAGAGTGCTTGAGCGTTTGTGAGAGGAAAGAAGCCATTATTTGATCTTTGTGGGTTGGTTTTGCAAGAAGAAGGTGGTTCCAGCTTAGAGGGGGCCAAGAAGGTTGCATATTTGTGGATCTCGTGCAAAGAACATCATCCTTGACGTAGCATATCGATCCTTTTATGTTTTGTTGAAGAATCCATGGATCTAGGGTTTTCTATACCCTTTATTAGGATGATTGTTGGATATATGGTCCTTTATCATGTTTAGACTTCGGATCTGGACCCATAGTGATCCAGAGAGCTTTATCCATCTTGCTTTATGATGAGTTATGGAAGAAATGGGCTTAGGATGTTGTATTTGGGGAAAATGCTTCAAGTAGAGTTATTTGGATTATGCATGAGTATCAAGTTTGAACCTTTACGTGTTTATTGAGCTTAGGAAGGTTAGATCTATGGATTAGAGGAACAGATCTGACCTCAGAAGGCCATTTGAGTTTGAGCATGGAATGAACTCGTCGAGTCCATGAGCAGACTCGACAAGTCGGACCCGGTTGTCCCGTGACTCACACAGTTGATGACTCGCTGAGTTGGGAGAGTGACTCACTGAGTCAGAGGGGGATTTAGGGGACTTGAGTTCACATCTGAACTCGCCGAGTCAGTGCCTGACTTGATGAGTTGGGTCAAAAGGGTGGCCATTGCCCAACGTTGACCAGAGTTGACTTGAGGTGACTTAAGGGCATTAGTCAAAGTAAGTCAGGAAGGTATTAGTTAGATATGTATTTGTGCTATAGGAGGAAGCTAGGTCGGAGGATTGAGCGCAAGTGATTATCCGACATCTTCGAGGTGAGTCTTCTCACTATGCCTTACCCGATGGGGTGATTATGTGTGACCGGAAGGTCTTATGTGTATGATGAAAATGTGATGTATATTGTATATGTAATATGTTATGATATGAGTATGATGATATGGACCGGAAGTGTTGGATTAGTGTCTAATTCCATAACTATTTTGGTATGTACTTGACCCGATGGTGCATGGTCCTTTTGGGTTGCCTTCACCAAAGCAACTTGATAGGATGAATTATGGAGAGTAAGGATTAAATATGGTTTATTAATATATTATGGGAATAATATATTAAAGGAGAAATCATATTGTTTAATTAATATTAGTCAATAATTAATTGGTAATTAGTTTTGTGACTAAAAGAGATTAATTAAACTTAAGGGACTGGAATTGTAATTATAAGATAATTGCAATTTGGGCCTTGGATTGCCTTGTATTAAAGGATGGACGAATTCTAATGGGAAACCCATAAGGAAATCGTCCATGGGCTTAATTAAAGGAGTCTATGGGTTGCTTAGGGCTTAAGCATCCAAATTAGGGTTTCCTTGTTAGATAACCCTAATAGCCCAACTATATTAAGACCCCTTAAGGCTCAAAAACGTGGCTAAGCTTCTTGTAAGGGTTTACACACGTTTTTGGCAGCCTCCAACCTCTCTCCTCTTCATCCTCTTGCTTATGGTGTTTGTGAACCATTAGAGGAGTGACACTTGTGACTCTAAGCATTCCAAAGTCAATACAAGGAGATTTGGGATTGTTATTGCTACATAACAATCAAGGTAACACTATAAACTTATTCTCATGTTAATATGATTATATGTATGCTAGAATTAGGGTTTATAGTCTTGGATTCAAAGCATGTACAATAGAGAAACCTAGATCCAAGCATTAGGGTTTGTATGAGCACATAGGATGTCTTATGACCAAAACCCATCAGTGGTATCAGAGCCTAGATTGGTTTCAATTGTATTGATGCATATTTGATCAAAATAAGCACTGAAAATCGATTTTTTGAGTTTCTGAATGTTTGACTCGCGGAGTCACTTGGTGAACTCGCCGAGTCAGCTGTACTCGACGAGTCCAGGTCCAGACTCGACGAGTCAAAGGGTCTGACAGCTTAGATTCGCGATTTTCTTCCTGTTTTGGTTTTGGATAATTACCATAAACTTGTTTTTGTGATAAAATCCGAATTTTTTCATTATTATGTGATTATCCTTACCAAAATAGAAGATAATTGTCAAAATTTAGATAATCACTTGTTTTATTAGATAAAGTTTGATTATTTGTAATTTAGATTTGAATTATCTTGTGAAATAGTTTCAATTTATCCCTTTAGGTTTTATAGTTTTAAATTTGAACCCCAAAA